TGTCCTGTGCCCATTTTTAAATTGGATTAAAATAATAGTTTGTCTTTTTCTTGTACAGGTGTTGTAGTTTTCTATAAATTTTATAGATTGGCCCCTTATCTGATATGTTGTTCCAAAACCAGTTTTTCTTCCCAGTCTGTTGTCTCCTGTTTTACTATTTTGGTGAAATCTTTTTGATGAACATAAGTGTCTAATTTGCTATTTTTGTCTGTTTTTAAAAAACTGCTTGACAGTGTGATTATTGCATGTAATATTAATGATGTTGTTCCACATTCCATTGGGCCACCTCTCTGGAATTGGCTCATATATGTTTCTCTTCCAATTGTCCAGGTAGCTGTCTTTCAAAGTTTTTTGCATAGATGAGTGATCACATCCAGTACTGCATCAGTATGTTGAAAGATTTTAATTTGTAGTTCGTCAATTCCTAGAGTCTTGTTTTTTGCCTTCAGTGCAGCTTGGACTTACTTCTTCCTTCAGTACCATCAGTTCTTGATCACATTCTGCCCCTTGAAATGGTTGATCATCAACCATTTGTCTTTGGTACACTGATTCTGTATATTCCCTCCTTTTGATGCTTTCTTTATCATTCAGTATTTTGCCTGTAGAATCTTTCAGTATTTCATGTTGAGGCTTGAATTTTTTTCTTCATTTCTTTCAGCTTGAGAAATGTTGAGTGTGTTCTTCCCTTTTGGTTTTTCAACTACAGGTCTTTATGCATTTCATTATAATACTATGCTTTGTCTTCTCGAGATGCCCTTTGAAGTTTACTGTTCAACTCTTTTACTTTCTCTTGTCTTAAATTCACTTTAGCTTCCCTGTTCTCACAAACAAGTTGACAGAATCTTCTGATGCCCATTTTGTTTTCTTTCTTGCCTAGTTTTCTAATCTTTTGCTTTCTTCCTTTATGATGTTATTGATGTCATTCCACAACTCTTCTGGTCTTTAGTTATTAATTTTCTAATGCATCAAATATTTTCTTGAGATGGTCTCTGAATTCAGTTTGGATATATTCAAAGCCATATTTAGGCTCTTATGGACTTGTTTCCATTTTCTTCAGCTTCATTCTGAACTTGCATATGAGCATATGATGGTCTGTTCCACAGACTGCTCCTGGCCTTGTTTTGGCTGATAGAGCTTTTCCACCGACTCATTCCACAGATGCCATCAGTTTAATTCCTGTGAATTCCATCTGGTGAGGTCCATATGTGTAATTGCCTGTATGTTGTTGATAAAAGATATTTGCAATTAAGTCATTTGTCTTGCAGAATTGTATCATGGGATCTCCAGCATCATTTCTATCACCAAGGTCCTATTTTCCAACTAATGAGCCTTCGTTTCCAATTTTCACATTACAGCATCTGTAATTATCAGTGCATCTTGATCGTATGTTTTCTCAATTTCAGAATAAAGACTTTGTTAGAATTCTTCAATTTTCTCATCACTGGCTTTAGTTAGTGATTGGTGTGTAAATTTGTAAATAGAGGTATTAACTGATCTTGCTTATTGATGTATGGTATCATAGACATTGTTCTTCAGGATAGATCTTGAAATGTTACTTTTAATGATGATATGATGCTATTCTTGAATTTGTTGTTCCAAGTATAGTAAACCATTTTTTTTTTTTTAACAATTGCCAGATTCAAGTCTGGCCAAGACCAGTCTTTTTCAAGTCATTAATGCCTAGGATATGGATCTGACGTGATCCATTTCATTTTTGACAGCTTCCAATTTTTCCAGATTCATACTTCAAACATTTCGTGTTCTGATTATTAATGAGTGTTTGTAGCTGCCTCTTCTCATGTTGAGTTTACCTCATCAACAAATGAAGATTCTGAAAGCTTTGCTCTACTCATGTCATTATGTTCAACTTTACTATGACAAGGCAGTTCTTCTCCAGTCTTATTTTGAGTGCCTTATGTGGTGCTGTAGGATAAGCACTGGACTGCTAACCACAAGTTCATTGACTCAAACTCACCAGCCATTCCTTGGAAACCCTCTCTATAGGGTCTCTATGTGTCAGAATGGACTCAACAACACTTAACTATGACAAATTCTGGCACTGTATCTGACTGAATTCTGCTATTCATAATGTTTTCATCATCTGGCACTATATCTAACAGTGTTGTTCAGTTCATCAGCGGCTAAACATAAACATTCAAAAGTAGTTTGCCTCTCCTTTCAGCTCTGCTGAAACCTGTCCACCACAGGTATTAAAAATTGGTGGCGTATCTTCTAGAAGCCACCACAATTTGACAAACTGACAGATGAGTGGGGGATATTTGTACTAGAGACTGATATTAGCTGAATTAATGAATCCCTTGTTTTCCCTCTAGGTGACCTACCAGTTGAAGATACCCTGTACTGCTTTATGCACTGTTTTAATGTTAAACCGGACACTCAGCAAACTACAGTGGGCTTCAGTTTTTATGTTATGTGGAGGAGTCACACTTGTACAATGGAAACCAGCCCAAGCTACAAAAGTTGTGGTAAGAAACAAAATTTATACCATAAGTAAAATAGGAAACTTCCTTAAGCCTAATATACTTTAAACACCACATGGATCAATGCAATATGATTACATTTCTTTCAGTTAAAATTATCTTTGCCTTTAATAGACTTTTTGAACTTTCCTAGTATAATGTTATTAAAGATACATACACTGGCTTTCTGTGTCTTAGAGGATAATGTGCATAAATGTAACCCAGCCCCTTTAAAATCAAAGTACTTTTGCAAGGTTATATGATTAATAGTGAAACTATGTCTGCAATTCCCAACTTCCACATCATGTATATACTCAGGACTTCTAGGCCTGTTTTAGATATTTTTTCACAAACACTAGGAAGGGCAAGCATTTTATTTAGGTTGTTGTTGTTATTGTTAAGTGCCGTCGAGTCTGTTCCGACCCATAGCGACCCTGAATAGGGTTTCCGAGGCTGTAAATCTTTACGGGAGCAGATCGCCTCATCTTTCTCCCGCGGAGCAGCTGGTAGTTTCGAACTGCTGACTTTCCGGTTCGCAGCCCGATTCATAACCACTACGCTACCAGAGTTATTTAGGTAGGTTTTTATATTCCTCAGACCTCACAAAGTTTCTTATCCTTTTGTACAAACTCACTGTTATGACTGGCATTACAGGGACGTAGTATGCTTACTGATTATTGAAACTAAAATAGGGTAAAAATTGTCTTTTACTTATAACTGACTTTTGTTGGGTAAGAGTTGAATGTTTAATATGAACTTGACTTTTTATATTATAGGCCCCATTCAGTTAGGAAGTGAAGCTATAGTGAACAACTTTCTGAAAGTCAGGGGGTTTACTTCTAAAATCAGACTCTTGTCGATTTTTAGCAAATAAAGGAGTATGGTTTTCTTAGGAGTAGAAGGCAGCTGGCAATGTATGGAGAGCTTTTGAAAGTAGGAAGTCAATTCCTTTTTAAGAATCACTTTCTAGTCTGTTAGAGAAAAGTTATGGCTATCTCTCCACTCCCAAAAAATGAGTTTTAATATTTACTGTCTTCAGATGATGCAGGCTATTATTCTTGGTAATATTTTTAAAAAATAGATAAAAATGAGCTGCACATTTGTCAGGTTAGACCTTCAGAGAAATAGTTTATGAAGGCAAAAGCTTTTTTTTTTAAAGTGTTTTATTGTGAATTATGATAGTTTGCATGGGAGAACATTAGTTTTACATTCATTCTATCTTACATCTTATCA